GAGCAGAATTCCAGGACAGAATTTTCCAGGTGTGCTCGCTATCGGTTCCCTGGAAATCTTGCCTGCGCAGGCAGACCTCGGCTTTGCATCTGCAAGAACTTCATTGGCTTCGCGTGACGCTTTTTGGCAACGGAGATTTCGCGCTTCAAGGCAGCCTGCATTACTGCATTAGGTGACAACCGGCACAAGGCGGCAATCAGGCAAGCAGAGATGACCCTGCCTTCAAGCGGTCAATCACCACGTTCGTTAACGCATCCATGTCGGCGCAGGCCTGAGCCGCCAAAACTGGGGGACACTTCATCTTTCGACGAAGATAAAGCCTGCCTTCGTCAGCATGTCTGCCTCACGCTTTGACCTACTCCGCTCCAGATTGCGGATGGCCGCTTCATTGGCAGTATCTGCCAGGATCAGTCCGAACACACGGAGAATTTTAAGCTGACGCTTTTCACCTGGGTCGCTTATCGGGTTGACCACGAGCTTCGTCTCCAGCAGCACGTTTTCAGCCGCCAACGACGCAAATCCAAAAGCGGGCACTCCTATCAAAAGACAACTCGTCGATCTCTGACCGACCCGATCACCATCGCAGTCCGCGGCCTGCGGTATGCACTTGGCGCAGCGAGCCTTGGCTGCAGACTAGAGCTTAGAGGATCTTTGCTAGCGGCAAGATCTCAAGGCCACTCACAACTGCAGAAGCCAGCATTGCACGCTCTCTTTATTCAATGATGTGACTGATTTATATTTCATTTCGTTATCGACAACAAGTCTGAAATCAAGCGTCAAGCCGAGAAACTGTAGACAACCTCTGCTATTTGTTTCTGCGCCTTGGCTAAGGCCTTGTCATACGCTTTCTGAAGGTCCTTGAGAGCAGCCTGCAACTTCCAGCTGGGCGCCATGGAAGCAAGAGAACTGAAGGAACATGCTTCAGCCTGCTCGAATGCCTCGTTACTGCCCTCTATTTCTGCAAGCACCTGTAACAAAAACAAGCAGCAAGTCGCACAGCACTTTTGTCGCACTGGCCACACCTGCTTGACCTGCCATCATGACTAGCTACTCAACTTCCACAAGCTAGGATGCTTCGACATTGAGGTGTCGCGTCGCGCTCAAACCCCAAAAAGCAATTCCATGCACTGAACAAGCCACGTCGCCCTCGAATGCCCTTGGCCTCTGGAAGCGCATCTTTGGGCGGCTGGAGCTGGACAGCTAAGATCGGTGCGCCACTGTCACCAGCCACCACACCATGTATGACCTCCCAGAGATCTTGCACACTCAAGCGCGTACGACTGCTGTGAACAGTCACCAGCTGGATCGTCAGAGCGCATCCAAGCAGCGGCAAACGCGGCACAGACATGTCGCAAGGCTGTGAACACGCTGACGTAGAACTGTAGAATGGTGCCGCGGCTCCTTGCAAACAAACTCTCTCGGCATAGCGCCGGGAGGGTGAATTCAGGATGTTGCCAGCACTAGTCGCGTGAATAGTCACGAGTCACTGGCTACTTGCACGGACGTGCTCACAAACATATCTTGCAAAGCAGACTTCTGGCAGATCTCAGTTCCAACCCAATCCATGGCGCGCTTGCCGGGGACAGTACGTAGGAAATGGTAAAACACAACCACAACGAAACCCGGATCGCACGCTTCATTTTCTCTCGCGAGCGGGTAGCGCAATGCTCCAGAAAACATAGTACTTGCAAACACGCAAACGCTAGAGGAGAGGATGGCATAGCATATGGGTGGCTGTCAATATTCCTTCTTCCAGGAACGGCGGATGCTGAAAAAATCACGGTGCCGCCTTATGACGAGAAGGAAAACGAAGGTCTGGAACGATGGCTTTGGCAAGTACAGAAGTGTAGTACTAATTCTTGCTCCCTATGCAAAAACCTCACAAAACACACTAGCGCCGCCATTTTAAGATTCAGGCATCGTCATCGGAACTATTGGAGGTATACTTGAGCTCGAGCTAGTAGTGCTTTGCTCTTCCAGGTTGGCCATGTTTCAAATCAGCTGTCTTAGTACTGCTTTATGTCTTGGATGGGCAAATGGCCACCGCAAGCAGTTTCCCTTCATATTTGCTAGCGCGACGCTAGCGCCAACCTAGCGCATATTTCGGCGCATGACTTTAGATTTTGGCACGCCGGCAGTATGCATCAGGAGCAACCACGGGGTTTAGGGTGTAGGGTTCAGGGTGTGTAACCCAATGTTCTACAGTCTTACCTAAGCCGCAGCCCGCCTATACTACTTAAGCTTCCCGAAGCTGGCTCGCTCTAAACCCTAAACCATACACGCTAAACCCTAAAATGTTAGCCTTTGGAAAGGAACACCTAGCGCCACGCTAGCGCTATCCTAGCGCCTACATGGGGAAGAGCCTGAAACCTGCATATACGCATGGCGCCGCCTTGTGGCGAAGACATAAACCAGCAAGGGCGGATCTTCATATCGCACTTCCATCATATTTTACATACATGGTATTTTGACGTCCGCCCATATGGATGTTGTTCTAGGTTCTCACGCCAAGACTAAGGCCGTAGGGTTCCCTTGCGCCTCGCCCTTGCGCCGCCTTGCGCCGAGCTAGTGTTTCCCGTAGTGTTTGGCCACGCCGGCAAACATGCCAACTACAAAACGTGGCACCGACAGGGTTTTTTGAAGTTGTACTATGTACTAGACGATATGTTTCCATAAGCTGGCTGGATTGTCACTGTTTCGTAGTACGAGCTTAGCGCTGGAAGTAATACACGACGCTGGACTTCAAGCGTTGAGAGCCTTGGTAGCCCTTGCGCCCCCTGTCGCCACGCTGGTTTTTGGCACCACGGTTACACGAAGGCAACATGTTACGCGTGCGCCGGCAGAAATATACACGAAGAGGCGGGGGTTTCGAACAACGCCCATAGGCCAAAGCCCAGCAAACCCTGAGAAGTCGTTTAGGGAGATGTTTGGATGCCAAGCATGTCGCACACGCAAGGTGCCGGGGTTCAGCTCCCCCCCTCAGAAGAAGCGCACTCGGGCACACCACTGCTTCTGGGCAAGGCTCCCAGGAGAAAGCCGCACTGGAATCCGCACTTGGCAACAGCCGCAACCCAGGGCGGGCGGGCGGGCGCAAAGTCCACACGCGCATTGATTTGTTTTCATCGCAGGCACATACATGAAGCAGCTGGACTGCGCTAGTCCAAGCTGCACAAGCTCATCCCTTGGTATAAGCGCACCATGGGCGCCCAAAGAAAGGGGGAGGGCGGGCGGGCAACTGAAGAAACAAGCAAAGGTGCACCGACTCGATTGCACCAATGTGACTCAACACCAAGCTGTAAGGCCAACCAAGCCATCACCAATCATGCTGTGTGGCTTTGGTGCGTGCAAAGAATTGCAAGCATGCCAACTGACGAATCGAGTCAGGAACAATCACAAGACAGTTTCACGCAGCTCAAGCAATGCCTGCGGACTCAACAGGCCAAGCATGCAATCGTTTTCGCGCAGCCGAGGGTTAGTGGCACGCGCTGGCCATCAGCCCACCTACCCCAGCGAGACCCGACCCGGGCGCAGCAGAGGGCGGGGCACCTCTACAAGCTCGCACTCACTGATCAGACGTTGGGATTATGTGCGCCCGAGTGCAAAGAAGCAAAGAAGCCTCCAGGCATCTCCAGGCATCTCCAGGCTCCAGGGACAGCAGTCCCACTCTACCCAACCCACTTTTAGGGCGGGCGGTTGGGAAAACAAAGACAACTGGCTGCAAAAAGCACGGACACAACCGGACTGCTGGACAGCTCTTCACACAACTGTACACAAGGCGTGCGTGCGAGATAAAGAGGCCGCTGTCGCAACATGCTTGCGGGATCAAACGCACCACCAGAAACCCCAACCCTCTACCAGGTCAGAGAACGCAGCAATGATGGCCCTTCCCTTGCGGTCTCCTTCATTTTGAGATGCGGCGGCAGAGTTCTTGGGTCTCCAAACACCGGGCGATATTGCAGCCGGTTATCGAGTCGACCCAAACCCAACCCCTACATTTTGCAGGGCGCGGCGGGCGGGAAAAGCAAAATGTCCCTACTCTGACTTGGCTGGGCCTATCGCCCAACCCACTGCCTGCTAACCAGCAGGTGCAACTGTGAGCAGACAACACTGCGAGCAGTCACGCAATCACACAAACAAGCTCACGCAGACACGCGCAGTCGCTCACCTACATGACGTGGCGCTATAGATCCCACTTTACTGCACGCGCGCGTGCATCTCGCAGGACTCTTTTACCTAACCCTCAACCACCTACACACTCTAGGCATGGGCGGACTATTTTGGCTGCAGAAATTTCAGTGTCTGGTGAGGGGCACCTGCCCCTCCCAGGGTCAGCACAGTCTCTGCCCTTTTGCCCCTCCGGCCACATGGGGCCAAATAGCACGGTTGCACGCGGCGTACATTCAATCTGGCCATCTGGCCAGAAGAAATATAGCCTTCTGCTCATAGGGGCGGGTGGGCGGGCCTGAAATCACAGCAAATGACTCAGGCACCAGCAGGCCTGCTGCACCAAGCTTGCAGAACTGGAGCAAACACTGCAAGCGCAAGGATGCAGGATGCGCAGATAGCCAAGTCCACACGCGCATTGATTTGTTTTCATCGCAGGCACACACATGAAGCAGCTGGACTGCGCAAGTCCAAGCTGCACAAGCTCATCCCTTGGTATAAGCGCACCATGGGCGCCCAAAGAAAGGGGAGGGCGGGCGGGCAACTGAAGAACAAGCAGAGGTGCACCGACTCGATTGCACCAATGCGACTCAACACCAAGCTGTAAGGCCAACCACACAATCACCAATCATGCTGTGTGGCTTTGGTGCGTGCAAAGAATTGCAAGCATGCCAAGTCCACACGCGCATTGATTTGTTTTCATCGCAGGCACACACATGAAGCAGCTGGACTCCGCAAGTCCAAGCTGCACAAGCTCATCCAAACCGAAGGAGTGGGCCTGCGCAAGTAAGTCCGTCACACGTCCCACGCCACAGGGCAGCGAAGCTGCAATACCATCAAACCTGCCAAGGCACACGCAGGATAGCACCCACGTCAAGATCCTGTCGCTTTGAACTGCAGAAGCCCGACGGGATGGTCCCGCGGCTGAGGCTGTCTGCCCACTGGTTTTTCTTTCCAGCAATGTGGTTACTGTGTAAAACCACACCAAGTTGGCAGCAGTAGAAGCCCAGAGCTTGCAACACATAGCAAAGTGGCGTAGACTGTGTCATAAGCTTGTCACTTAATGCAGAAACGCCCGCGTTGTCGCACAATTGAGAGAAACGAAGCGTGAAGCCACCGGAATCATAGTGACCATGTCGATGTCGCAGCAGGAGCAAGCAAAGCTGAGCCAGCGCTTCAAAAGCTGCAATGCCACTCTGCAACGAGTCCGACCCGGATGCAGATAACTGCAGCCACTTCGGCCAAGACTGCTTCGGAAGCACAACCGAGAACCAGAATGCCTCACTCTCCTGAACAATTCCATCATCCGCCGGTACCCACCAGCCACCAATGCCAGCACCGTGTCGATCTGCAAAAGCGTCTGCAGCTGCGATCCCAGCATTGGCAAACCGAATACAAAGTGGAATGGAGACCGAGCTCTGAACAGCACCGCAAAAAAGGCGAGCTGCGTCGCACAGCACTAACACATCCATGCTTCACACGTGGCGTCTGCAGCGCACGACAGGACAAGCTGCTGACCTCGGTGTTGTTGACTGAATGCAGCTTCCAGCCAGATCCGACATCAAACTTCCGGAAGTGCCGACCAGTCGTCAACTCCGCAGACAACGAGGAGACCACATCATGGAATTGGCAGGCCAGCAGTTTGCGTGTGACCACTGACGGTTTGTACAAGAGTTTATACAAGCAGGACAGCCATGGACGCAACCAAAAGGCTCCTTCGCAAAACCATACCAGTAGCCCAATCGCCTTTTCCAGCTCACGACGCTCTACGCGAGCACCAGACACACACAGCTTCCGAAGGTAATTGACAATCCGTGCAGCCTTCTCATACGGCAAGAAAGCCGCTCCAGCCATGGTGTTAAACCGCCATCCAATCCACACCAGCTCCTGCTCCATTTTTACCTTTTTCCAGCTCAACGGTACTCCCACTGCAGTCAATAACATCAGGGTGCTTGTAGCAAGAAGCGGGCCCACAGAACATGGTAAAAACTCGAGACCGTCATCCACATAAAGGAATAACCCGTGCTGAATCCAGATGAACCTGTGTAGCAGCCGAACCAACCAGCTGCCAACACGACTGAACCAGTACGCTGCCCAGCGGCAGCCAAAATAGCAAGTTCTGTAGACATACCACACGCCATCAAGAATGAAAATGCTGAAACCCTGTTCGTCTTCACGCACGCACACCAGCTTATGTGCACCCTGCACGTCAAACGAAAACATCCACCAATCCTCTGAAGTCACAGCCTCAGAAATAAATCTCTGAATAGATTCCAAATCTGGCATCCGCATCTTTTCAGGAATGCAAGATGCGCCATTTGCACCACTGACGCTACCATCTCCGATCAAACGGGGATTTTTTCCCGGGACACGGACAACTCCCAACTTGCCGGCGGCAACATGCGGACCCCAGCGACTCCGCGCCTCAGATTCTCCGCCAGGCAGAATATACGCGAATCCTGCCTCCACGTCCTTCATGATTAACGAGCGAGTAAAGGCAACGTCCTCGGAAGCGCTTTGCCAAGGGGTCTCAAACACACGCAAGTCATACTCATCAAAACAAGACGACTCCATGCGTTCATCCCAGACACCAGACGGGGCGATGGGACTTTTAATACCGGTTCCCACACCTTCTTCGAGAATGCGAGGCAGATCGCGGTCAATATCACCGGTCAAAGATCCCAAAGCTCGCCACATGTCCAGCAAGAATGGCTGGTACTGTGGAATGTCCAAATTGCACTCCAATCCTTCCTTACGTAAGAAGTTTTGGACGCACTCGCGCAACTCCAACACCTCAGTTGCAGAAAATAGCGACTCTTCCGAAGATTGTTCCATACGAGCACGCAGACGTGGGATCAGCCGCCACCTGCTGGCTAGATCAAAGAAAGACTTACGCAGTGGTGCGAAGAAATCCTTCTGCTCACGCGGAATACTCCAGTCTGCAGACGACACAACTCCACCACCATCTGTGATAGGGTATCCAAGCGAATGCACTGGGGTTCCAGGCAAATCACACCTGCCACCACTGCTGACATCATCCACTATAACTGCACTGCGCGACTCAGCGACCATATCAGGCACAGCCAGCAAAATTCCATTGCCACCATTTGCCATCACTCGCTCGCCTGAAGCCACGCCAGGACTGTCATAGCAAACTGACACCGCCGACGCAGGCCCAATTTGCCCGAGGGCTGTAACACCACCAGCTGAAACGCTACCCACGTCCGCACATTCCACCAATGCTTTGGAAACACTTCCAGAAGTTAGTCACTGCTTGCAAGCTGCCGCTCCATGATCTGTACCACCGCACTTCTCGCACACGTGTTTGAAACGACACTCATCACCTCTGGAGCAACGACCCTCTTGAAAATCGAAGCAATACCCGGTGCGGAACTTTTTGCCAGAAGCAGGACGCACGGCTGGACGCTTTCTTTTCAAGGGTTGCTCGGTGCCCGTAGGTGGCTTGCTGGCCTCCCCACTGGCCTTACCACCTGGCAGGGTCTTCACCGGCTTCAAAGGCTTGGGCCTGCACGACAGATGAAGGCGCAACAAATCATCTTTCACCACAGAGAGTAAGGCACGATCCATGCCGATGCCACCAAACACCATCCGGAACACTTCTCCCATGACCTCCCTGTCGGCTTGCTCTGCCTCCAACGCAGTTGGCAATCGAAAACCTTCAGAGGGTGGTTTGGTGTAGTGATGCATAAACTTCTGCACATACTGCATCCAGCTCGACAAATGCCCAGCCCCACACATTGAATAGGCATGAGCCCGAACAATGAGTATCGCTGACACTCGCAAAGGAGCATTTGACAATTCCATATCCCATTCATCTTGGCCCAGCCCGGCAGCGTGGGACATAATGTCCAGAAAGTCCAAGCTCTTTGACTTGCGACTCTTGACCGCCACCGCATCATCTTCACTGAGCCCCTTTTTCCACGGTACCCACTCCCATGCACGGGCCGAGCACTGATTTTTCACAACAGACAAAAAGCTGACGCAGGGCAATGAGGCCCCATGCAGCACCGTGCCAGGATAATTGGCCTCAAATGTCTTCCTGAGCTTCTCCCTCTCAGCCGTATCCAAGCGTACACCTGAGCCGACTGCCGGCACAAGTGACAGGCAAGCTGGAGCGTTGGCAGATTCACCAGCAGACCCAGAGGACTGCGACCACAACAGGCGCAATCTTGCCACCAGAGGACATGTGGCCCAGTCCGCCGCATCCACCTTCATTGCATCCTCCCCAAGCTTCTCCCGCGACTTAGCCAGCCACGCATCCAAAGCACCACGGTCACTGAAAGCACTCTGAAACACAGCTTGCTCATCATATCCCAGACCAATGATGGCATCAGCCACTGATTTCGGCAGCTTAGCTGCCAAGACCATATCGTGCCACGAAGTCCCAGACATTGCGGCTGCAAGGCACACAATAAGAATTCACCAAGTACAACAGCAAGCAAGGTCCGCAAGACCCACGCACTGACAGTGGCATATGCTGCTTGCCCAAATATACGAGCCGGTGCAAGGGAACACCCAATCCCTCAACTCAGCTCCAACAAACACAAGTGTAGACGTACACTTGTACAGCCAACAAGGCAACAGTTAGCGCGACGCACACGCCACGATAACTGCCAGTGTAAACGTACACTAAAACAGTAAGCACAAGTGCAAACGAGCACTATCACAGCTGACCGTGCAGCAAGCTGCACAGTGCACACAGCACACAGCTGCAAAAGCAAGTGTAAACGTACACTGCCATGCTGAGCGCATCCGCACCGCCCCCAGCACCGACCCTGTAACAGGTAGCACAGGCACTTTGAGCCCATTCATACGGGTACGCCGCACTGCGCAGCACAGGCACTGTGCCCGCAGCACACGTAGCACTGCAGCGCCGGGTCATCACGCACAAGGAAGCAGCTGGTCTGCAACACGGCGCGTGGCCTACACGCCAGACCCCAGCGCGTGTCATCCACCAGTAACCCTCCAGACTCTGTAGCAACTGCTAGGTGGAACCAACCAGTGGCTCCGTTGATTATCCAAGGACCAACAGAGTCGCAGGCGTCCCAGGAACCAGCATCGCTGTCCTGGTCACATAGGATGTCGCTGGGGCAAACGCTGCTGCCAGAGTCATCTACTTCCCCATCTTCATGCTCTGACTCCGACTCCGTGACTGAACCTGCTGGAGAAAGTGCACCCTCGTCTGCAGGTAAAACCACCTGGCCACCGACCCCGCGATCAACTGGCACCATGGGCCGCCATCCTGTAACCAACTTATCCAAGACAATCTTTTGACAACGCAGCTGAGGCAGAGTGTCGTTGCGGCCATACTTTGGCACACACTCAGAAACTCCAGGCTCTTTGTGATGGCCCTGCGCAGAGCGGTCACGGGAGCTGACCTCTGCCTCCTCAGCCCAGGACAAAAAGGTACACTTGAGGCTATGTAATGTGTAACTCAGCACGTCAACTGCATCCACACCACCATAAGTCACCAGGCACCGGCGAAACTGAGCAAGCGCCGTAGAGTAAGATACGGGTTGACCGCCATGACCAATCAAGAAGTCCCTGTTGGGGACCGCGGCTCGCACCGCTAGTGACTCTTCGAATAACTGCACGCCCCAATTTGAATTAGCCACACCCTTGCACCAAACAGCCCATGGCATGCCAGTGGCCGACTGCTTACAACGCCACGTCCAGCCACGCAAACAGCCTTGTTGGCAGGACACCGAGCTCAGATCCACTCTCTGGGCATCGCTCCAACGCAAGCTCCCGAATAACATTAATAGGAAGCACAGCAGCAACCAAGAATCTTCCACCGGAGCTGACTGGCACGCCAACTCCAGGCGCAACACAATGTCAAATGACAACGGAGTAGCCTCACGAGGACGACGTTTGGACCACTTCTCGCAACGGCCCCAAGGCTCCAACAACGGACTTTTGAGCTGCCCAAGCAGCCCACATAGCTGCAGCCGTGATGCTGCAAATTTCATGGCAGCGATAACTCCCATCGCTTTACTTTTGCGATTGCGGCCTCTATCCATGCGCACACCCTCACATAGACTCTCGAAGAAGTCGAGCAGTTGTGTCAGAGATGGTCTCGCCATGCTCCAAGAAGAAGTACGACAGAATTCCCACCAGACGCCCCAACCGCGGAGATGCTTTTTCAAAGTCGAAGCCGCGCGATTTGCAAATATGCGACTCAGCTGAGCCTTGCTGACCTCCCCAGGCGCGACGTCCAAGTCACTCTCATTCAGCAAAACCACTGCAACATCTGCCCACTTGTCACACAGACTCACACGCTCAGCGTCTTCCTTACTACGCAAAGACACATCACCATCGCGGCAGTCCGTTAAAGGACCAGACGCAATTCTGGCACGCTTGCTGCACCGGCCATCCAACAAACTAAGAGCCGAAGTAGCAGATGGCAAAGTTGACTGCGCACAAATGCGACCATCTCCAGGGCCAGGTAATTCAAACAGTCCCCACACAAGCGGAGCCGGACGTTGTAGGCCGGCGCCCACTGGGATCACAGCATGCTCTGCCGAGCAAACAGGCGCTGGTCTCGGCAAACCGCTGCCTGTAACCAAAGAAGACAACATATTCTCTAACATAACGTCATCCGCCGCCATGCAAGCAACAGAAGAAGAAAAGGCAAAAGCAAGCAACTGAAGAACAAGCAGAGGTGCACCGACTCGATTGCACCAATGCGACTCAACACCAAGCTGTAAGGCCAACCACACAATCACCAATCATGCTGTGTGGCTTTGGTGCGTGCAAAGAATTGCAAGCATGCCACGCATGTGAGACGCTTAAGGGTTTGCCGTGTGCGTCGGCCATTTGCCCCGCCTACCCCGACGCAAACGCCCCGTTTTGCAGAAAGGTGGACGAACGTCTAGATCACAATCATTCTAGACAAACCAGTACGACAACCCAGGGAGGCGCACGCGTCCCCCTCGACAACCGGGCACACCGGCCAGGTCCCTTTGGCCCTATTTTCGAAGGTTGTGGAAGGCGGGAAAGTCGAAAGTGGGCTGCGGTCGCACTACGCCTCTTTTCAATGAGCTTGCACACAAGAAAGGGGCCGCAGCCCAATCGCTTCTATGCGAATACTGCAGCAATTTCTGCAATGAAAACGGCTGCAGTTGTGAGTGTATGGTGCATGCGCAAGCTGACGCTGTACGCAGGCATACCACACCACACTAGCCCAACCACAACTTGGAACAAATCTCACAAAGCAACCCTACACTTTTGCCCACACGACACACTGGCCCTGAGAGCACGGTTGCTGCAGCATGACACTCAACGTCAACGCAGGACCACGCAACACTCAACTACACACGTCGCCAGCACGCTCACACCCCTGCAGACAGACAAGTCCCCTTACGATGGACGCGGTCCACTCCACGGCTCTGAACTGAGTAGGTGTGATGGCGCTGCTTGCCATTTACTTGCGCAGTGGCCTTATTTAAGTCACTCAGGCCGATTTGCATTCATGCTGAATTGGAGCGTGCTGCACAGTGGCGCAACGCTGCAATGTTCGCTCTCGCGCACGCAAAAATTTCGGTCAAGAGCAAGCAAAACACTGTTCAACATGCGACGGTGCAGCATCGACGCATTGTCTTCAGGTGTAGTCGGGGGGTCACTGGCCCTCTTTGCGCGCAGCACGCGGGCTTGGCCTGCCTTTGGCATCTATCTCAGAAGATACGACAACTATGGCATTGATTGCCCTTTGGCACCACGGAGTCTGGCGCTTGCCATGTCCGACGCCTCTGCCAGTTTTTGTTCGACACGCGTTGCACTCTGCAACTCACCCATTGCCTGCGCATAGCACACTCAAACTATGCATTACGCAAGACAAGAGCAAAGCACCTTCGTTGCACTGTCAGCCGGCACATCGAAGCTCACTCGCACTTCCATTGGGACGCCTGCCTGCCACACCTGGCGCACGGAGCTGTGGACAAAAAAGAATCCATAAGGCATCTCGCTTGCACACAAGCTGCACCGGCTGCACAGGCGTCGCCAAGATTGCAAAAGGCTCCAAGCCTTCGGCGGGCAGCGCGGCAGCAAACACCATCAACAACGCACGCATGCTCAATCAGGTGTAGCTAGTGTAGCTTTGCAGTCAGAGATAATTGCGCAAGAAGCTGCACAGGCAGGACGCAACAACTGCAAGCCCTGCAGGCGACGACGGACAGACTCAGTCAGATCTCTCTGTCGAAGGCTTACTGGTCACGAGGCATAGGCACAGCGACATCCACGCACACACACTACGCAGACCTACGCAAAGGCTGTTGGGCCCTGACAATTTCACGCATCCCTCACACACTTCTGCTGGATTGTCGTGACGAAATAGACGCGGCTGTCTAGTTTGTTCCTGCACCCAATTGCACCACCAGCAAAAAATCATCTCGTAACACCAACCAGAGATTGGCCTAATATGACACCGTCTGACATGACAGGACCTGGTAAGACACGGTCTTGTCAGCTTGCCGGGCATCTTGCGTAGCCAGGAACTGTCGTGCAACCTCGCACAAGCTCCTGCGCAAATGAGCTGGTAAGGCTCTTCGGCGGCTGGCTCGCAGCCGAACGTTGCCAGGCCACGCCACACTGACAACAAGTTGCGTTCCAGGACGCGGCTTGAAAACAACACTCACAACACTGTCAACACGCACAGCTTCTATGTATTGCGTCTGGCCGATCTTCGCCAACTCAGAACATGAGATCAACGGGCGGCACGGTCCTGAGTCAAGGAGCAGACTGAGACCGAAGCCACTGTCGCTACTGGACAGCAAGCCAACCAGCAGAAAGCTCAGCAAACCTGAGTAGCGCGTTCCATAGCAGTGGGGGACGTCTGTTCCCACAACCAGCCAGCCTAGCACACAAGCACCGGGAGCCAGGAGCCTCACGCCCTTGCACACGGAGTCTGAGCTGCAACCAGATGGGCATGGCTGCACGCTTAACGGCAGAACTTGCGGCTGCTGCGAGACCATTGACGGGCCGGCGCAGAACTGCACACCGCACCTCGAAGGCACATTGGCAAGGCGCACTCGGCGCTTCATGCGACCAAAGCAGCCAGCACGGACCTTTTCGAGAACTCACGCTTGGCACCCACATCATCATTAAACATGATTGAAGGAAGACACGGACCTGAAGAACAAGCAAGTTCCTAGCAGGAAGTGGAGCAGCTCTGCTGAAAGTTACCACCGGTGTAAGCAGACGAAGCATGGCAAGCACCTCCACACAGCTGGTTACAAACATGCCCGCTCACGCATCCCGACAGCCCAAGCGGCCTGCATTGTCCTGTCGCCATCCAGTTGGACACGCCATTGAGAAGTCCTCCTCACACTTGTTGGCGCACGGCCAGGGTAAGCCACACGTGAGGGACGTCTCCTGCACAACCAGCGTCTCTAGTTACACTGTCACAGAAGGCCCACCCACCTACCAGTCACACGCTGTGAAACCCTTTCCCTTGCAAAATGGCAGGCGCATCCTTTTTGCTGCGGGATGCGCAGCCGAGTCCGTCCAGCCTACCCAGTGGGGCGGTGGTGGGCTCAATCGAAAGAAACCTGCCAGCTACCTACTGCTGCAAGCTGTACCCCTGCCGCGAGCAGAAGAACTAACAACAAGCAACGCGACAATATTAAACACGCGTCGCTTCGCTCCACGCGCTACTATGCTACTATCTGTTCCGATGAAACACCGAGACGCTAAAAGTGCAAACGCTTCGCTAAGCACAACCCGCATCTTCCCTGCGCTTAAGACACGACCCACCGCGAGTCGCTTCTACATGTTTTCGCAAGCCTAGAGATGATAGGAGGCGCCCCTTTGATCGTCGCACTACGACGTATCACGATTTCACCGAGAGCGCACACAGAAGCTGCCACGAACCACGTCACTCACATCAACCCCCTTGAACACACAGTTTGCACTGTCGAGGCCTGCGCAGCTTGGCGGGGTGTGCAAAGGGTTGGTTCTTGCTAGCCTCCACTGCCCCAGGCAGGCAAGCCCTGCGGTGCATCCGCGCGCAACCGGCACTCTTCAAAATTCTCAGCGGCTTGAGGCGCGTATTCTCGAACCCGACCAACCACGACCCCGCATTGCGTTGCGAAAGTTTCGTGGACATCTCGCCTCCTTTCCGGCCCTTTGCTGACAGTGGCTCTTTTTTTTTGCTGGAACGTGTGCCCCGCGCGGCGCAGCAGCACACCATGCATTCATAGGGCGAGCGGGACGCAGCTTGGGACGCAGCTTGGGACGCAGCTCGGGACGCAGCTCGGGACGCAGCTCGTGGCTGTTGACAAAGGACAGTCGGAGCTGCTACACACAACTACCTTCGACATAAACACGTGCCACACATAGGAAAAAAATTGGAAGTATTGCCGAGCCCAACCGTTCCCCCTTGCACGGAGCAGCCCGTTTCTCTTGACTCTGCACTCCTGGAATTGGCACGAACCTCCTACAAACTTGTAAACAAGCTCTAAAAGCGGCATCACGCAAATCGCAAAACAGTTTCAGGGCATGCTTCACACCGAGCATAGAGCATAACGCAAAGCTACAGGATCTCGCGACAAACCACACCTGGCGACTGGCCACATCATTGCCTGAAGCAAAAAACAGCAGGGTGCACTTGCTGTCTCACACGTACACCAGCCCCTACCAGTGCTCAAGGGCGCTGAGCAGCGCCCTTGGTACCAATGAGGGGCCGAGCAAATGCCTCAAGATCTGTGACTCTGATCTGCAATCAGCTCTTGCACTCGCGAGGTCAGCTGAAAGTACTGAGCAATGCCAGCAACAGGTTTCTTGGGCCAAAAAGCACATCACCGTGCCCTGCGGCCTGCGCTGACTTCAATCCAATACGCAGGACAGGGTTGGTCAAAGTCCTGCCATCACACGGAGCAAAACGTCTGCATCCTTGTCTTCTAGTTTTCAATCTAAACACCTGGACACATGCATTTTTGCACGGCCCTGCGTTTCAACAACACCAGCACAACAGGCCAAGAAGCACTGAATCACTTCTAAATGAAATGGCTTGCATTGCAGGCTGCATTCCAGCGCTAATGCCTCGCAGGAAACTTCAATAACCACAGACGCAATGCTTTGAGAACCACATCAGAATTCCGGTGCCACAGCCTTCTTGCGCGACACGCTGAGAGTGGCAAGTCCTGCTGCTAGAAGGGGGAAGTCTACTCAGAAGAGCCAAAGGACCGACCTCCTGGCCAAGCAGCAAGGAGAACGCAATAGATGGTGCAGTCACGAGTGTCATGCAATCCCAACAGCAAGTGAGACTCTTGACCTTCGATCCAAGCTGCCCTGTCAAGAAGAGATCCCTCCTCATACCTTAAGTTTTTTTATCGCGCGGAAACTGAAATCCTGACGCTTCAGAGCTGCGCACGCGTGAGATCAAAGCAGCACACACGTGGCAGCAGTCGAGTAAAGCTCCCCCCCCTGGAAGAGCGCAGTAGGGTGGCAGCGGGCGGAGGGCAGGCAAAAACAACGCTCAACCTGCAAAGCACGCAGGCTGCAAGCAGAAGCTACTTCCAGCAAGATTCTCCAAAGCATCAGCAAACGACGGGGGCGCAGATCCCCGCTCACGCTAGCAAAACGGCTTGCAGTCCTGCATACTGCTTACTGC